TCTCAAAAAAGAAAAAAGACAGAAGTAGTATTTTTATGTCTAGAAGTAATCCTGCAAATAATTTTACAAAAGAAAGTTAAGTTTAGAGGTTAGGTAACTTGGCTGAGGTCACAGAGCAGATAGGTTACTAAAATCTGAATTCAAATCTGGGTCTTCAGTCAATAAATTCTATACTTTTTCTACTACCTCATAATTAACACAAGTAACTACAAGTTGTACAAGAACTAAGTCCTATGACTCAGCGCCTGTAGCACAATGGTTACGGCGCCAGCCACATATACCAAGGCTGGCAGGTTCGAACCCAGCCTAGGCCAATTAAACAACTGCAACAAAAAAATTGTCAGTCATTGTGGTGGGTGCCTGTAGTCCCAGCTACTTCAGAGGCTGAGGCAAGAGAATCGCTTAAGCCCAAGAGTTGGAGGTTGCTGTTAGCTGTGATGCCACAGCACTCTACCTACCAAGGACGACACAGTGAGACTGTCTCAAACAAACAAACAAAAAATGAACTAAGTTTTATAGTAGCTTTATATAGATAAAAAGCAACAACTCAATCACAAAAACTACAAAAGAGAGTGTCCTTTAAAAATAAGAGCTTTGACATTTATAGATGGTCATATAGATATATGAAACTGCTATACAAAGTTAATTAATCTACAATCTCAGCAAAACATGCTACAGACGTTTAAGAAAAAATTTTACCTTGTACTTCTTTATCATGATACTCTTTTAGTTTTGTCCAAAGTTCCTTAAAGTCATTAGATACATCTGCAGAACTAGGGCTTCCACAACTGCTTCCAGAGATGTTCATCTTGCTTAATAATACACTCTACACTTCTATTTGCTCAGTATTTTCTGTTACATTATATAGGTATGAAGTTGTCTTTGGACAGCTGAAATACCTGAAATGACAGATTGTTAATATAAATGAATTTGGCATTTATCTTTACATAATTTGAAGTCAGGATGAAACACAAGCCCTGCCATTCACACGGCTCTCCTTCTTTCTCAATCATTTCATCAATCATTTTGTGAATCTGGAAAGAGATGGCAAACAATGAGGAAAGATGATTATGATGATAAAAGCCCTGATTTCAGTGATTAGGCCTTTTAATAAGATAAATTTTTAGGCAAATTTTCTCTTGGTCCTCCAAGAAAGGAGTAATTACCTAAATTACAAAAACTAAAGGATTCAGATATTGAAAAGTTCATAATTATTCATGGTCAGAACTGACTTACCATTATAAAATAATTTGTTGCTCTTTCAACTTTTAAATTGATGTGGAGTACAAAACCACACTGAGCCAGAAACTGAAAAAAATTCTGAAATATTCTTTACTTACCAAGCATTCACAGATACATACACAACTACATGTATTATTAAAAAGCAAGACAAATTAACAATTGATGTATTAACACAGATGAGGATCTGTGCAACTTTCCAAGAACAAGAGAAGTCAGTAAGATATAGACACACTTAAGATCTGTGAATACAAGAACAGCTTATATTTAGAGGTACAAAACAATTAGAGTACAGCTATTTTATGCCTCTCTCAGAAGAAAGGTAAATGCTTAAGTTTATTACTTATATAACCCTTCAAGGAAATAACAGGCTATTAAGAAATTCAAGTGGATTAATAAATATTTTAATATGTATTCTTAAAGTGAAACCATTAATTAGCTACCATTCAAAAGGTAAAATGATTAGCAAGTCTAAACCTTACATCTGGCTCCTTAGCCAATGCTGCACCATTGCTAAAAAGTACCTAAGCTGATTTAAATATCTCATTAATCATTTCTTGGCATCTGTGACAAAGGGGCTAACGATGATAAATTTAAAGGGAGCAAGATGATGAGTGAAGCCATTTGGTAAACTGTAAATCACTACAGAAATACTCATTTTTATTAAGCTTTTCAAAAATTGCAAGTGGACTTAAAAAAGCAATCAGCAAAAACTGAACATGTGCTGGACTTTAGATATTTGGGAATTACTATTAATTGTGTTAAGTATGATAATGATGTGGCCAATTTTTTTGCAAAAGCCTTATTTGTTAAATGGATATCTAATGAGGTATTCACAGGTAAACTGACATATTCCCTGAGATTTCTTGAAAATACCTAAAACAGGCTCGGCGCCTATAGCTCAACCGGCAAAGGCGCCAGCCACATACACCTAAGGTGGCGGGTTCGAACCCCCAGCCCGAACCCGCCAAAACAACAATGATGGCTGCAACCAAAAAATAGCCGGGCGTTGTGGCGGGCGCCTGTGGTCCCAGCTACTTGGGAGACGGAGGCAGGAGACTCGCTTGAGCCCAGGAGTTGGAGGTTGCTGTGAGCTGTAATGCCACGGCACTCTGCCCAGGGGGACAGCTTGAGGCACTGTCTCAAAAAAAAAAAAGAAAATACCTAAAACAAAGAAAAAGGGGGAGCTGGAGTTGGGAGATGAAAGAAGAAGGGCTGAACTTTGACAATTATTGAAGCTAGGTGATAGGTAGGTATAGTTGGGGCTTCATAATTCTAGTGTCTCTCTCTTAGGTGCATTCCATAAGAAAGTTTTTATTTTTTTTGAGACAGAGTCTCACTATGTCATCCTCAGTAGAGTGCTGTGGTGTCACAAATCACAGCAACCTCAAACTCTTGGGCTTAACCAATTCTTTTGCCTCAGCCTCCCAAGTAGCTGAGAGTACAGGTACCCGCTGTAACACGGGGCCCTGGCTGGGTTCCAATCTGGTGTATGTGGCTGGTGCCCTAGTGCTCGCGCTACAAGCGCCGAACCCATAGAAGTTTTTAAAAGCAGGCCTGCTAGCACCCTGGGAGGCCAAGGCAGCAGACTGCTTCAGCTCAGGTGTTCCAGACCAGCCTGAGCAAGAGCAAAACATTGTCACTACTAAAAATAGAAAAACTGAGCCAGATACAGTGGCTCACATGGGTAATCCCAGTACTTGGGATGCCGAGGCACATGGATTGCCTGAGCTCACAGGTTCAAGACCAGCCTAAGCCAGAGTGAGACTCCCCCATGTCTGAAAAATAGCCGGGTGTTGTGGCGGGCACCTGTAGTCCTAGTTACTTGGGAGGCTGAGGCAAGAGAATTGCTTAAACCCAGGAGTTTGAGTTGGTGTGATCTATGATGCCATGGCACTTTACCGAGGGCAACAAAGTGAGACTCCGTCTCAAAAAAATAAAATAAAAACTGGAAAAACTAGCAGTAGTTGCACAGGCCTATAGCCCCAGCTGCTCTGGAGGGTGAAGTAAGAGGACTGCTCAAGCCCAAGGGGTTGAGGTAGCTGTGAGCTGTGACGCCACAACACTCTACCCAGGGCGAGAGTGAGACTCTGCCTCACAGATAAAAAATAAAATGAAATAAAATAAAAAGCCGGACTGAGCACTCTGCATTAGTACAGCTTTGTTCCCAAAGAGGCTTATATTCTACCGCTTTTTAATCCTAAAAGATGATCAAAGGGTCTATATAATCGTCAATAAAAGTCACCATTTATTATTATATCGCAAAGATTGTGTTGTTTTATATTTGTTATTTTACTTAATCTTCAGAACAAACCTGTAAGACAGCTACAATTTTTAACTTCACTTTACATTTGGGGAAATAAATGACTTGACCGAGGTTACACAGCTAGGACTCAGCTATGTCAGGGCTGAGACTCAAATTACCAGCAGTCAAAACTACAAAATACTTCTTTCTCTGTAGCCAAATGCAAAGAAAGTGGGAGGGGAGGACTAATTATTTCTATTACGTAAAAAGTTCAAAATGAAGGTTTACTTTGGTAAATAATTTTAAAATTGCACAATAAATTTAGAACCAACAGCGTACAATAAGCATCCTTTAAGAAAAGTAAGTCTCGGGCGGCGCCTGTGACTCAAAAGAGTACGGCGCCGGCCCATATGCCGGAGGTGGCCGGTTCAAATCCAGCCCCCGCCAAAAAGAAAAAAAAAAAAAGTAAGTGATTTTTTTTTTCACCACGTAAAAACACCTAAGCGGTATTAAACTTGCAAATTCTGGCTCACAATATCCTTTCCACCCGTCCTGCACACCCAGCACTTCCCGTTGGCATCTCTCCTTGGCACTGAACCGCTATTCGCTGCGTCTTCATGTCTCAGAAACGTACATCTTGCCTCTCAAATTGCATTCTGGGCTCAAGGACCTGTAGGTAACTAAATACATTTCTGTATGTCCCTCCGCAGTGTAGGTCACCACAACAAGATGTTTAATAAAATATTTACTGTCCCACCTCTGGTACAGTCACACCGGCATGCCAAGAGGGACGCCTTGAGTTACACAGGCGACCTAAACAAACTGTAAAGGGCCTACGGGCAGTTTAAAGCAGAGCAGCGGGGTAAAGCCTCTCCCGCCCGGACCCTTCTCCCGCAGCCCCTCCCGATGTCGCGTACCGGTCCCGGGCCGGGCCGAGGGGAAGCCCCAGGAGCTTTTAACAAAGTGGCCGGCGTAGGGAGCGCGCGGGCGGCGCATGCGCGGGGCGGGCTTGGCGCTGAGAGGCGCTTCCACAGCGCGCGCGCGGGAGTCCAAAGAGCGCTAGGCAGCGCGAGCGCGTCCTCCGGCCGGTCTGCTGCCCCGAGGTTAGCCTGTGCCCAGCCTCATTCCTCAGACACAGGCCTAGAGCCGAGCGGCCCTCCTCACCCAGGACCCACAGTCCTCGGCTAAACGTGCAGCTCCAGACCGGAAGCAGCCGCTGCGACCCGGCGCCCCGGGTAGGGAGTCAGGAGATTCCTCTTACTCACAGCTACCAAGAGTCCCTCGAAATTCGTCAGCGGTCCACAAGGGAAGCGGAGCGGGGAAGGGACGGCTGCTCGCTTTCCTCCGCGTTTGCCCTTCTCCCCTACCGGCGTGCCAAACGCGCGCGGGAAAGCCGGCGCCTCTGGGCAGTCCGCGCTATAAGGCCGGGGGCTGCCGGCGGGGCTCTGAGGCGACCAGACCCGCCCCGCCGCGGGCTTGGGCGACGTCACGCGGGAGTTCCCGTTGCGTCACGCCCCTCGCGCCGCCGCCGGGGAGCCGGTCTGTGGTGCTGCCTGGCGGAGCCGGCTCCGCGCGGCCGGAAGGGCCCCGGGGGCCCCGAGGTGCGCCGGGGAAAACTCAAGCCGGTGCGTCCCGGGAGCATCCAGGCCGTGGCGTTACGTGAAAATTACCTTAACAATGAGTCTGACTTAAGCGTTTTGCAAAGAAGGCGTGTGTATTTGACCTGTACCGAAATGAGTTCCAATTAACTGATTTGGGATGGATACGGCTCAGTCTAACAGAGATTTTGACCGTGTAGGTGTTACCTAGTGACGTGACCTGACAGGACTGGACGGTGACGCCGTATATCAAAACGATGTTTATTTTGTTGGGGTTAGTTAGACGGAACGTTTCTGGCAAACCTGAAGTGAGAGGGAGTTTGAAGCAACCAGCATTATTTGTTGGGACAATATTCTGTTAGGTAGTGCCAAAAACAAAAACAAACAAAACCAAAAATCCCCACAAATTCCAGTAGCTGTTCTAGAAACACTCAGAGAGTATATGTTCCTATTTGTCTTGATTTGTAAGAGAATCGTTTTTAGAGCACTACAAATTATACAACTGAACACAGTGGAATAGACTAGAATCACAGTATCTTTTAAACCTTTTTGGTTTAAAGGTTACTTTTGTGTAATCATTCTTAGACCTGGGAGGAGGACAAGGAGTAATACTATAAACGGAAAAGTGCTTAGAAAATACACATACAAAATGTAAAGGTAATTTTTCCACCTGTCTCAGATTTTAAGGGATGAATAAATTTAATTTGCTACTTGGGAATGGACTTAATGTGTTTACGTACTACTGTTTTACCACGGCTAGGAGAGTTGGTATAATGAAGAGGGCTGATGAACCTTCATTATTCTGTTACAGCAACTTTTTCACTAGCCAATTTTACAAGACTTAATTCATAATATTTTCAAAAAAGAATAGGTCAGAAAATGTGCCATTTCCTATACAGCACAGGATACATGATTGACAGCGAGGCTTGGGTATTGATGATAGAAATGGAAAGAACCTGTAATCAATTTGTCATTTAACAGCATTTTGGAAGAGCAGCGTACGTGTCCAGAGAAAAACTGTCTGAAAAGAATAACCTAACCTGTTCCTAGGGCTTCTGCCAATGGCTCTCTATCAAATCCAGGGGTCCTCAAGCTTTATTTAAACAGGGGGCTAGTTCACTGTCCCTCAGACTGTTGGAGGGCCGGCCTGCAGGCCCCTGGACGAGTTGGCTCCTAAGCAGGACAGGCAGCTATGTCTGTCTGTCTGACAGACCTGGCTGGCCTGATAAATGTCCTAGGTGGGCTGCTTGTGGCCTGCGGGCCATAGTTTGAGGACGCCTGAAATCCATTTATGCAAGTCAGAGTGCAAAAGATTCATCCTTGATACTTTCTTCTTTCTTAACTCTCATATACCAAGTCCTGTCAGTTTTATTTACAAAATGCCTTTATTAAATCAATCGTTTTCATTCCATCACTACCTCTGTAATCCAAGA